CTAGTTACTAAAAAACAATAAACTTAAAATTTCACACTAAATTCTTAACTTGTTGTTGTTGCTTTATGCTTTGGATTTGTAGTGTTTACCAAATACTACGCAAGTCGAGTGTTCAAGTATTATTTGTCATTTGTTTTCGATTGTGAAAAAATTAATAATAAAATGCAAAAAAAAAACACAATTTAATATTTTATTTCCAAAATAAAACAAATTATTTGATAGGTATTTGACAATAACACACATCAAATAAAAATCAAACATTGTTCGACTTTATGCAAGCTGCTAAACAAACGTTTAGCAAACCAATATACTGGCAAAATACTTGCATAAGTATATTGTATGGACCCTTTAAGAAGCGGGATCCCAATTGTGATAAGTTCGACAATATCAAAAACATTTCTTCCTTTTATATAGAGATTTTTGTATATAAAGATAATTTAAATGAATATTTAAATGTGTACAGCAACTACAACAATTCAACATAAAAAATTTCTCCTTTCATTAAAATTAAAACAATTAATTTACATACTAAAATATTTTTATTATATGTAATTTTTTGCTGTGTAAAATTACATTTCCTCAGTATTAGATTTTTCAAGCCGCTCTACAAAATTATTGAAAAGAGTTTTCAAAAAAAGTTCAAAATCCATATTTAGGATTACGTTTACTAATATTTTTCATAAAACCAAATAATTAATTTTGGAATTAAATTCCTACAAAAAGATCTAATATAATATATAAAAAATAAACATTTTCTAAGACTATGTTTCAAAAATATAGATAAAGAAATTAAAAATTATTTTGAGAGCTAACACTGAGATATATAATATATACATGTTAATTATAACTACAAATAAAACAATTTTTAATTATAAAATGATTACAATTTATCTTCGTATAGATCCATTTAGTGGAATATAAGGTGAGTACGTTGAATACATCTGATTCTGCTGCGCGCGTTGGAGTGCACAAGCATCTTGGAATTGTGTCTGCATATTCATAACACCCATTTGCATTGGTATTTGAGAATTTGGATATTCACTAGCCGATACATAGCCAGATGTCGCACCAGACTGTTGACTTGACATTCTATAGCCATTAATTGCACTATACGGTGTCATTAAATTTGGACTAATATGTACATTTGTCGTACGGCTCGATGATGAAGCTGAGGAAGCAGCAGCAGATATATGTTGAACTGGCGCAGAAGGTGTGTTACGTGTAGTTCTGCTAACATTTTGTGTAGGTGCTCCTGAAATTTGACCTATATTCATATTGGTGGAATAATACTTGTGATACTGCAGAGATGTCATTTGACTCTGTAACATATTTGGGGGTGTAGTAATATTTCTATTCTGCGTTACTAATAAATGCGGTGGTGGTGTCATCGAGTTATGCGGCAATGGATGATGAGGTGGTGGTGTCAAATTAACTTGACCTGCTGGAGAAGTGTTGCACGGTTGTACATCTAAACCATTTGTTAATTGCTGTAACTTAGACAGACTGCATAGATTTCCAACTAAAGTGGATGTCTCACCCGAATTACTTGCACTGGTCATTGTATCGGATGAGTTATTTGACAATTGCTGGTCGCTATTGGCTGATGTTGAAGATACCCCAGATGAAATTGTAGAGGACGACGAAACAGATTCTTGTATACGAGAAGGAGTACTAATTGCATGATTTGAGTTAACATTATTTTGCAAATAGAGATTATTAACTGCACATGCTGATGGTGATTGGTCTTGTCGTTGGTGTGGACTGGAAATAGGGTGTGTCATACGTTGCTGTAAAACTGCAGGCATCGAAACTAAATCATATGATGACGAAGAATTGCCGGCATAATTTTGACTTAGTTGTGGTAATGAAATATAATCTACATGTTGCATGTTCTGATTGTGTCCATGTTGATCTCCTAGTTGTGAAAACTGCATATTATGCATTTGCTCCTGGTGTGCCTGTGAGACACTTTGATGATTATTTAAACCCTGTTGTTGCGTAACTGAAGACGATGACGAATTGCCTGATGAGCCATTTTTAGCAACACGATATTGATTACTAGTCGACGTGTTGACATTACGAATTAACTTTGAAGGAGACGACCGCTGAGTAGAATTTGAGACACTGGTAACAATTTCACTCTAAATAAAATATATAAATAAAAATTAAATGGTATGTGTTAGTAAATTTAAATGTGGAATGTGTAAATAAAATAAACATTAATTTCTGAATCAGTGAGTTTCATTCAACAAATAGACTAAACACCACACAATATAACAGTTTGTGTGCTTTAATTTTTATAAACAATTTAATTAAGTTATTATTTATATTTTCATAAATACGACTGTAAAAAGAATCTCAAGAATCTTAAAGAATCTCAAACCAAGTCAGATACTTTCAAATATGAATACAAATATTTTCAATTTCTATCTCCAGTGAATAGCGATACCCAATATTGCATCAGAAATACAATGATTAATAATTGTTAGTTCCAGCAGCAACCAGGTGCACATCTCAAAACCACTGGGGCGACAAGGGGTTACTACAATAATAACAATATTTATAATATGTACATTTATTTGTTCATATTATTGATATAACCGCGGATATATCTTGAAAAATAAAAGACACCAATTACAACAAAAAGTTAATTTTAGAGCTTTAGAATTGAAGACCTAGAATTTTCTTTCGTTAAGAATAATAATTGACAATGCATTAATATTTAAAATTATAAAAATCGTAACATATGAAATTTATATATAGTCAAACTTCCATAATTCGAAGTACCATTTTGCAAAGAAAATGTTGGACTTATGGAGACTTTAAATTAGAGAGAATATTTTTATTTTTCTTTTATTTTTGAAAGAAATTAGAATTACATTTTAAAATATTTACTTATATATTTGAAATTAAATACAGCACAGAAGTTGTACATCTAAACCATTTGTGAAATAATATATTCAGAAATTAGGGTTTGGGATTTTTATTTTTTTATTAATTTTTAGTAAAAATAAATTCCAATTTATTCCAAGCCTTATAGTGATTATCAGTTGTAGTATCATTCATTTGCAAATAAAAATTCAGAATCTTGAATGAGTCTTCTACTTTATTTTTGGAAGGCTGACGAACAATTTCATCCACCCAACCGTCATCATCACTTTCCGTTCCACTTAGAATCGGATCCACTAATTCAGAGTTATAATACTCAATAATATCTGTTGGAAAGCTTGATGTACAAATTTCATTGTCAAGCTCAATATAATCATTAAGAATAGCATTGGAATTTATTATATTTACTCTAAACCAATCTGTTAGCGAGATATTCCTATTGGCACGTGACAATATTTTTATTCAAGTTATAGAGAAATTCAGGTTAAGGAAGCAGATTTGCATGTAATTTGATCTCTAAAACCCTATTGCACTCTTTTCAGTTCGAGTTATGGAAGTTGGACTGTAATTAATAATATATTTATACAATCAATTACTGAAATTAACGACAGATTTATAAATTTTTTGCTGATAACTTGATATACTAAATGATGATGTATATATATTATAATGATATATAATAATAATGAATATGTTGAGGATATATATTTATCAACAAAAAACAAATACCTTTGTATAGATTCTTGTGCATTTCTTGAGACTGAATTGATAATATATACCTGTTAAAAAAATTATTACACGACAATGAAAAAAATAAATAAATTAGCAATGATATACATCTAACAATAGGTAGAATACCGGTAACAACAAGATATTACAAAAATTTGAATAAAAAGATTACCAAAGATAGCTAAACATCTTCATAAACTCAAAACTAGATTATTAAAAATAATAATAATTTAAATAATTTATAATATAAATATGATTTGCCCGACCATAAATTATGAGAAAAAAGGAACAAAAATATTTTAACAATATAACAGCCCACCATTTAACAAATTCTTTAAAAACAGATTTTCTTGAGTAACCTTCTATAATGTGCGTTCGAAAGTAAACAGTATTTTTTATGAAAAGATATTTAAATAGCCAGCATTAAAAATATTACATACATCGGTAAGGCCAACAACTCCAAGTATATAACTGAATTGGCACCATGTGACTTTTACCATTTCAGAAAAATGGTTTAGCCAATGAAAATAAAGCTTTTTATAAAGCTGAGGATATGATTTCAGAAAGCGCAAATGGCATACCCTGCTCTGCTCCTCCGGTCTGATGTATTTAGTTCAGTATGCCTGACACTAATAAAGTTTTATACACTAAGGTTAAACTAGGTTACAGTATGTTATAATATAATTATATCTACATACATTCACTTAGCAACTTCGAAGTGACGGTTTTATTTATATGTAAATATAAAACTTTATATTTTTTAAATTATTTAAATTTATTTATGGTTCAAATTTAGCAAGGTTTAATTTCTGACACTTGCACTCCAAAAATTATGGACAATTAAACCAATAGATGTTTCCAAAAGATTACTGATAATGAATATTTGACGGTATCTAAAGCAACTTTAGGATGAACCCAAGAATTCAAAAATATTCCCAAATGTGAGAATTTTCGAATAGTGCGAAATATTCATTATCAGTGGCCTTTTGGAGGTCACTGGTTCTTGAAATATATATATATAGTGTTATTATGAAAATAAAAAATATATCACCTGTGCAGAAACTTTTCTGTGTTGTTGAGAGTGCTGAGCATTATTTAGAATATTGATGTTTTGAGTTGCTGTTGGCAAGTTCATATTTATACCAGCTTGTTGCTGTTGTTGAACGTTAGATGTATGAATTGCCATATGCATGGGTGTACTTGACGATTGATTGTGCATGGAGCAATCGGGAAATTGTTGTGTCTGATGCATTTGTATATTGGATGCTGGCAATGCTTCAACAGAACCTTGTGTAACATCACTTCCAATACTTGCAGGGGAATCAATGCTCATCTGTACATTCATACCGCATTCATAGTTATGCATGTTAGAATTATTATTAGATTGCTCACTGTTGTAAACCACTGGTTGTTGGTGTAATAATTTTGATTTAGACTCATCTGTTGAAACTGGAATTGGACTTATATTTGACTCTTTCGATTTTTGCGAAATTGCTTGAGCTGCAAGTATATTTTGAATCGAAGATGATGGTAAAAGCGCTGAGGCTGAATTATAGAATTTAGTATTAGCATCTTGTAGTAAATTCAAAGATTTAACATGTTGTGATTGATCTTTATAAGATTTTGATTGTGATGCATTTTTTTGATTATACGTTTGATTCTCTGCAAAACCACATGCATGAGATTCTTCCTGCATTAAAGCATTTAAATTCCCATTACCAACCCCCTTATGGCCATCCTCTTTTTTATAGTTATTAGTTTTCTTATCCGTTCTATGTTTATCTTTAACATGCTGTTGCATGTGTTGATGTGCATGATGTTGTATTGCCAAATTTGGAGATGGATACAAATTTTGTGTAAAATTGTGTCCATATGCCATCTGCGTTGCTAAATTCTTATGAAATTTATTTTGATTTTTTTGAGTGGTCGCTTCTAAATGCGAAAAATTATAACTGTAATAATCCCATTGCCAATATTGTGAAGTAGGATAATTTGGAATCTGATTTAATTGAAATGGAGGCGTTATTTTGTTAAGATCCATTGAATTAGGTATTTGTGTATGTTCAGCAGGTTTTAATTGCATTTTTTCATGAACAGATATTAATGATGGGTCGAGTGGTAATGCTGACACATTTTGTATATTTTTTTCTTCCTCTTTAATTTTTACAGCAGATGTTGCCACAGATATTCTCTGTTTTTCTTTATATGTTTTCTCAATATCATTTTCCATTTTTTCCATATGCTGCTGTTTATTATTTAGTGTCGAATCCGGAGACGATTTTATTTTCATTTGATTTTTCTTATTTATACTTCCGCAAAAACTTTGTGATTGTAATTGTTGCTGTTGCGTTTGCGTTTGCGTTTGATTAGTTTCGATCAATTTTTCTATAACTTTTTCCTCTGATTTACAAGATTTATTACTAATTTCATTTGTATCATTTTTTATGATATTATCGTTCGAAATAATAGCAGTTGACATGGGAGTATTTGCGGAAGTTTCCGTGCTTTTTCTTTTAGATAATTTTTCAAATTCGGCAATACTTTTGTTTTCAACAATACTTTCATTTTTTTTATCTGTTACATTTTCGTTTAAATTAAAATCCAAGTTTTTTGAACCGTTATTATTATTATTTTTTGTATCCAAAACATTTGAATTTTCAGTGTTCTCCAATTTTGGGTTCTTTTCATTAACTGGTTGTTCTATCTTTGCTTCTTTTATATCTGAAGTTTCTGCTACCATTTTTTGCGAAGGTAAAACATCTTCCTTGGTTACTTTTTGATTACATAAAGTATTACTTTCATTCTCAGTTTGCGAAATTACCGACTGCTCTCTATTAGTAGTTACCTGAATTTCAGTTTTAGTCACTGATTCGTCTGCAGGTATAGCACTACTAACACTAGCACTACTAACACTAGCACTACTACTACTAGCACTACTTAAATCTATTGTAGTTGAGCTAACAAAAGTTTTGCTTTCCGAATTCGGTTTGCTTTCATCTATATTATTTTGCTCCACATTTTCTACTTGTGCTACTTTTTGGTCACATTCTATATCCGTTTTGGTATCTTTTGAGTGTGATAAATCATTATTAGCAACTTCATCGCATTTATTTGTTATGCTTATTTCGGGAAACAGTGTCTTTTTAGTTTTTTTCGCTACCGCTTCCAAAAATTTTTCATCATTATCTAATGCCGTATTAACATTTTTAATTTCAGTTTCTTTTTCTTTTTCTTTATCTATAGAGCTAATATTTTGATTTTTAATAACAGGAATATCTTGACTTTGATCTTCAGTAGTTTGATTAGTTGTGCCAGTTGTATCAGTTACAGTATGTTTTTCCGAAATATTTTTCTCTCCAGATTCCGTGACAGTTGGTTCATTCAAATTTTCTTGGTTTTTTGTGCAACATGTCGCGTTTGGATCTATATAATTTGGATCATAATTTGTTCCAGATTTCTTACCCCTAAGTTTTGGAACTGTATTAATTGGTTTCTCATTCAAATCTGGTTGAATCACATTTTTATTATTTACTTGCTTATTCTCATCTATGTCTGATGGCTTTAAACCACACAAATCTATTTTTATAACTTCAGAGGGTTTATTAGAGGTTTCCTCAGATTTTAATTCATTTTCTTTACTCTCTTTCTGCACTTGAACAGGATTATTATTTTCAATAGTACTCTCTTGTTTACTTGTACTTGTACTTGTACTTTGTTTGCGATTAGCCAAACGTTGAGCTCGGCTTGTCGGTAGTTTTAAGCTTTCTTGTGACTCTACACATTCACTCTGCTCTGAAGTGTTTGCCACAATTTCATTAAATTGCTTTCCACTGTCGGATTCATATAAATCAGTTGGTGGGCTTTTGAAATCATTAACTGACTCCTCCTTATTAATATTGTTGTCCAATTTATATTTCTTAAAACCTTTCTGTTTCATTGCAAATACTTCCGCACTAATGCCTCGTTTACGCACATTAGGAATGCTTTTAGCAACTTCTGTATTTTCAGAAGTTTTATTTTGAGTTGTTTCATACTCAAAAAAGTTCGAATAGCCATAATCGTTTTGATCAGCCTTCTTTTGAACAATTTTATCAATTTTATTTATACCTTTATATTTGGGCTTTTGCAGTTGACTACTGCGAAAATTTCGGAAATTATTGCAATTCTTTCTATTAGAATTTTCTTTTATACCAGTCGGTTTCGAATATGCCTGTATTTTTTCGGTTTTCATATCTTCCTTTAAGCCATCGTTATAATTAAAAAACTCATTTCGTTTTTGTTGTGCTAATTCTAGGGTTCCTGAATTAGTATTTGTTAATAGTGGACTCCATCTTAAGTTTTCTGATTCAATTGGTATTCGAGTCCTCGAATTTTGTAATTTTTTATATTTAGCTTGTGCTACATCCCAGTCAACTATAAAAACGGGTTGAAAACGTATATCGTTTTCATTTTTTCTTACTCTTATAAAGTTTAATAGTTCAAACGTTAAAGATATATCTGGTACAGTTAAACCAGTTTTTTGAGAAATATCATAAAGAGTTATTTTAGGAATATTTCGGTGATCGTACAAATACTCAATTATAATTGACTTCCAATAAGAAAAGTAAGAAATTCGGCCAAGATCTGATAATGGCTTTTCAGGTGTACCTAATTGCCCTTCTTCACGGCTCAAAAGATAACTGAAGTCAATTAAAAATCTTCCAAATCCTTGTCGCTGATACTGTGGCATTGTTAGGATACAAGACACGTTAAATTTTTGAGAGCAATGTTTTTCTTTGGAAAAATATCCAACAAAGTGACAACCTTTCTTATCATTTTTGGTTAAAACGTAAAACAAAAATGGTTCCACATCATAATAAAGAGTTTTGTGATCCAAAAATAGTTTCGCCAATAAACACAAGTTTTGACAATATATTTTATTAACATTGCCATCAACTTCGAATACAGATATATCTTTTTGCCGGTAAATTTCTGTACCAGGTGGTTGACGCCATGTACATTTATTTTGATGTCTATCCAATACAGATCTACTTTTTGTATATTTAAGACAAAATTCGCACAAATATAATTTCGGTAATCTATAAAATAAAAGATAATTTTAAAATGAGCTATTTTGATAAATAAATAAATAACCATATAAACAAATAAATTTTTAGTAAATTACAAATATTTATATCTACTGCGAATAATTTTTATAACTTTTGAACACATAAACAATCTATAAATCGTGTGTGTAAAATGAATACTGAAAATATTATAATCAAGAAGTGGATATAAATTGATGAACCTGTAAAATTTCGCCTGTGTTATTTCATTAGAGGCAAATATAATTTCAATTGAAAAAGAATATCAATACAATTAATTGCAATTTGTGAACTAATAATTTGTTTATTGAATTGTTTAGATATTTGATTTGCAGATGCGAAAAAACCAAAGTTTAAAGCAAATAAGAAAAATGTTAATTTGAAATTCACTTAAAAAAATACCTACGATATAGCATAGCTGCACTAATATGAAACTCTCG